TCAATAAATTTTTTAGTACTTATTAATGCATTTATCATGTTTGCATCTTTTATCGAGAGATAAGAGGATTACATGAGGGGAATAGATTTGATCGTTATCGAGAGAGGTTTTCAATTAAATTAGAAACATTGATCAACATGAATGATTTTAAATTGTCAATTTAATTGTTACACAAAAAATGAAATAATAAGGGGGATTCTACATCTTAGTAATATTTTTTACGAATTCGATAAATTTTCTTTGCTTTCTATTTAGTTGATAAATTTTATATTGTTTAGTCACAAATTGATTTTGCTATTCGATTAAGGGTAGTGTTAGCTTTAGTTGGATCAAACACATAGTTCTCGTGAGTTCGATACTCTACATATCACTTTATTACTTGTTCACGATCTCGTCCACTTGCTGATAATGAAACGATCAGAAGGTTTCATATTGGTAAAACGTTACGAGTACAAATGCATTTCGAAACATGTATTAATTATGAAAATTTTAATTAAATTCAACTTCCAAGCTCAGCTCTTCAGATGGAATGAAATAAGAAGAGCATAGTCATTTCTCTAAATGACCTTATTTCCACTGCTTTTGCGGATACGTAAAATGGGCAACTGACTAAGCATAAGTGATAAAATTGTGTTTCATACCATATTAGAGAATCGTGTTTACAAGCTATCGTAACTAAACTATCAAACAGCTGCAAATAGATAATTTATCTATTAATATTTTATTTTCAACCAATTTCTTTTTTATCTTCAAAGTTTTTGCATGTCATATATTTCAAAATGAATAATCAAGTTACTTAGCCTAAGCCCCTGTTTGATGGGAATTAAAACTAAATTTTTATAAGATTTTGTTAAAAGTTATGAAATGTTATTGAAAATTAGTAAATTTCATAAAATATGTAATTAAAAATTAATTGTTGACTTTTACTCAAAATTAAAATTTTAATTTTAATTACTACGCAGACTAATTTGAAAACAAAAGTACACAGTGACAGCGACTGAGAAATTGGACCCATCAATTCTACTACTCTAACAAGTCATCCCCTCAGCCCTTGTCACACGGGCCTGTCAAAGGCCCCAGTCTGAGCAGAATAATTCCTGGACCCATTCCTTGCACGACCAAGACTGAAGAATTGAGCAAAATTCGAGGCTTAAGAAATGCCAAGCCTAGTCGTCCTCGAATATTTTTATATTAATACATTATTGTTTTCTATATATTTAGAAAATTTTCCAAAAGAAATAACAAATGTAACTTTAATTTCTAATTGTAATGTCTTGAGCATGTTATACCCTTAAAAGAACTCGTATTTTGATGCTCCATTGTATATACGTGTGTTTGAATTTTTCCTCGATCAAAATAGAATTATGAAATCATTTGAAAGCATAGAAAATTTTAGTATTATTTATTTTACTTAGGTCCAACTTAGCAAGTCCACACATACCTTACTTGTCAAGTTCGAGTCATGATCATTTGAGTTTGGACAAGTTGAGAATACACTGCTTAAGCTTAAGTGTATAAAAATAGCACAACATTTTCTTTATAAGTCAAAATTGAATCATTATCCAGCTCAATACAACAAGCAAAATGTATCCAAACTGTCAAGTTCGAATCATCTTCGCCTTTTGAGCTTCAACAAAATGACACTTAGTGTGTCTCTCAGTTAAAGGCTTATTTTGGTTCATCTGGAGGGTGAGGATCATCTTCATCATATTTACTAATGGCATATTCTTGTTCACAGTTAATTATGGAGAACTTCGTATAGTGCTCGTACTGCCTTTTTGTTGCTCTGAATACACGAATCATTTGGGGTGAGGGAAATATAATTCTAATGACAATGAAAATGTTATAGTACACGTTTGGAAAATATATCGGGATTTAACTATTTCATTGGTTTTTGACCTGTCATTCGTAGTCAAGTTTATGCCAAAAGGCTCTAATGCACGGAGATTTATGAGATGGTTTGCGTTTGTTCATCTCGACAATGCAACCAATACTTTGAGAATTTAGGTTAAAAGGTCTTACTTTCTAGCTTGTAAATAAAATCTTAAGCTGTTAGAGAGGTGATATATTCGTTTCTTTTAATTTTGACTTCATCAATTCTTTATGTTACAATGTAAATGTGTGCTCCTACAGTTTGTTCAACCTGGTAGATTACTTCCATAGTCGAGGCTTGTACCACTCAATATTTGTAAGGTAACATTCTTTGCTGACTTTTTTCAAGTATCAATATATGTGCATTATCATTTCGCTGCTTTTTAAACAATCTCCTCCGTCATAGCATTGATGGTTTGTACTATCCGTGCAGAATAACGGAGGGGGAAGAATCTTTAAGGCACTATTCTCCTAAAGTACTGGTAAATGGGACCGAATAATAGAAACGCAGCTTCTCTCCCTCCTCCCATTATACTTTTCCATGGAACTGTAGATTATTCCATCCCTTCTGATGCCAGGTTTGAATCTCCTTGAACTAACAAGTGATTTACTTTCTTTCAAATCATTAACTGTTTGCCCACGTTATGTGAAGCACGTAATAGATAAAGTACTCAAACTTAATTGACACTCGACACTGATAAGTATATAAAATCTGTCTCTAGTTTTAACGCCATATATGTATGGCATATTTGGTAAAGTAGATTGTAAAGCACGGCAGTAAAAGAAAGAAAAAGAAACAAAAATCATGATTCATACTTTCTGCTGTTGTCAAGTTCTTCATTGGAAACATGCCTGTAAAGAATTTTATCAGTGACATTCACAAGTTCGTTTCATACAACATGCAATTCACCTTTCGTGACTATTGTCAATTTCTTTCAAACATGCTTGGGAGTGCTATATAAAATGTTTATAAGTTGTGGGCCTTATAAAATGTGTGGATAAAAAATATTTTTGACAAACTCATTTATTATTTAAGTTTTGTCAAACATGCACTTTAATCCATCTAACATAGTCTTCTCTCCATCTTTTCCATCTTATTGTGACTTGGTAATGTAGTTAGAAGAAACCCAGAATTGACATGACCATTTCTTCACACATTTCATGTCAAGACGACAGGACCTCTGGGACGATGCATTTCTGAAATCACGTTACACTATTTGTGTAGAAAATAACTTTTTAACCAAGTCCCGTTTGTTTCCCATTATTAGCTCATTAAAATAGAAAATATAATCGTTATCCATCACATCAAGCCACAATATTTAACTTTCTATATCTTGTGTGGAGCCTGTAACGGTTATATTTTTCATTCTTATTTTTACATTAATGTGTACCAAATGGGACCTTGGGTTAGGAAGCCACTTTTGGCATAATTTTGAGTGGTACCTATTCGATCAATTTGGAAGATCAAAGTTGATTCATATTCTCCTCCATGACGATATCGAAATCATATATTTACTTTTCAAAAATGATGCTCGAGTGAATAGTAATTGTTATATTCTGCTATAGTACTTGTCCTGTTCTTCATTTATATAAATTTGCAAATTATTTTGGTCAACCCGTTTTGGTTCCAAGAAAAATTTTGCTGAGACTCTTCGAAGAGCCGGAGTTCAAGCTGAATTGATTTTATATGAAGGAAAAACCACACAAATGGGTTCCCTTCAGGTACCATGTTGTTCCATATGCTTTTGTTCTTCCATTTCTTTACTATTCACAAGTTTTGGAAGAAATTCATGAGTTATCTAACAACTTAAGCTTTTAAAAGAAGTTGTTCAACGTTGTATCTGACCAAGTAAATGTTAGACCTCCTACTTATGACACACTATGTCTCTGGTATTTGGTGGAAAAATAAATTGATTATATACCGAGGGGTGTGTGTGGATGAAAGCAAAGTTTAAATAAAATAAATTTGTCCATTTCTTGGTCTTAAACTATTAGATGAGCATTTGTTAGTTACGCTGTGAATGAAAACAGTATCTATATTCATATATGGATCTTATTCATTAACCTAAAAAATAGATCCAAAAAAGCCATTAATGTATATTCTTGTTTAGTTATTTATTCGCATAATATTTAGGATCCAATGAGAGGTGGCAGAGATGAAATGTTTGAAGATTTGGTAACCATGATTCATGCTGAAGACACTGAAGCTCTCTCGAAAGACTCATTGGGGCCTCCTAGAAAATGCCTCGTGCCTGAATTCATGTTGAAAATGGCTTGCACTTTCAGCCCCTTCGAATTACTATCCATTCATTTGTCCTTGCCAGAATGAATTCAAAGAATTACTGGTTTTCTTAACCTATATTTTTGTTGCGTTTTTTGATACCCAATAAATCTCAAGCTATAATGCTAACGTGGGTTAATGTATTTCATAGATATAGGCCGATGAATGAAATAAGTCCAATAATCAAGTACATAAGCTCTACCCGATCCAATTGTATTTCCTTTTGGGTGGCTTGAATCTTGGCTAGTTTACCTTTTTTAATGGTCCAATTAAAAAGCCTAACCCTAGCATACTTATAAGGAATAAACCCTAGCCAATTTCTAGTATGATTTGTATGTAAAAAAGTGGAGAACTCGGCTGCAAGAAGAGAGAAAAACGGCTGGTCCTTTGTGTGTCAAAAACCTGTGATTAAACTTTGTGTTTTGGTGGTTCCTTCTTGCCTTCCTTTGTGGTGTTGTTCTCCTTGCTTTTGTGGTTGAAAATCATCACTGTTTCTTTTCTTTCATGGATAAGATTGAATAGCAACCGAGGTGAATTATATTAGTTGTGATTGGAACCGGTTGGTTTGGTTGTTGGTAGAAAAAGGTACGCTAGACTAAGTCCGAAAAGCATCGATTTGAAGATCTTTGAAGAGAGCTTCCGCAACAATTTTTACAGTGTGTTCTTTTCCTTTTAAGATTTGAATTGCTTTTGAGGTAATAGATTATCAACTCCTTTGGTAACACAGAATCAAGATTGGGGGAAAAAAATTTAAATTATAGTTTGCAGTATTGTTTCATATCTTGATCATATGTTCCTATTGTAGACTCAAGCAAGAGTCATCGATGATTTCTTTCATGAAAGCATGTAAACTTTAAGAACTATATATCGATTATGTAGATAATTTGACGATGCAGCATCATCATTTTATTGGGCAAAGCCAAGCCTAAGGACAAAGGTTACATAGTGATACACACATGACGCTGCTTCTATAACATTTATATAATTAAGATAGCCACAAAATAGCTGCTTAACAAACTGCACACATATAACTTAAATTTACTCTTCCTTAGCCTTACTTTTTCCCAGCGGACTTCCAACATAATCCCTGCAACACAATCAAAATTACAATCAGTTTAGTTATGTACGCACATGTATCCCAGTATGAAGTTAACTCTATTCTAAATTAAACAAAATATAAGAAAAGAATTCGTATAGTTGAACTAACAAAAGATACCTTCTTCCTGGGCTCCCGAGGCTTGTGCTCGCCCTTCGTGGGGCAAGTTTTGCAGTCGGTTGCCTTGGCCGGCTCTTTCTTGGCCGGTACCTGCGATTGACAACCATTAGGTTTCTCAAGTTTGAGTGATTCCATCTTTAAATTCCCGTTTGCTTACCAGAAGCTCCAAGTTTCACTTGTATTTATAACTATAGTTTCATATATTAGGATAGAAAAAGAATACTACACGTACTAAATTAACGGGATCCAAAGCGATGGAATATATTGAAATTAGAGGCTTCTTTCAAGAAGCTGCATCTGATGCTTATCATATCTACCTTGCTGGTAGATTTGAGCATAAATCTAAAATAAGGAGATATGTTAAAAATAATCTACTAAATTTTTAATTATTAATCGGAAGATGCTTTGGAATTGGAATCTGGTGCCACTCCCTTTCCCCTCTGTTACCAGGTTCCTATTCAATATTGCTTGCTCTTGCACTAAAACCTATATGTGACAAACAACCCAACCCTTACAAATCCCAATATATTAGTGTAACAATAAGTTAATTTTGCTTTATGAGTTCACTGAAAAAAAGATTAAGAGAGAGATACCATACATCTCTTTGGACAAGTCCTCCACCTCAAATTTGGGGGACTAATACCTCGGCCAAATGTGCAACGGCCTCTGTCAATATGATTCAGGATATGACACTTCGGAAATATCGTAATGTGAGCTTCAGATTCCGCTTCAACACAATGCCTCGAAGCACGGAAAGAGCTATGCTATAAGCCAAGTCTTCAAAACTTCATACTCCCTCCGACGTAAATGTCTCGGAGTACATACGAAACCATTGATGCCTCGAACTACATATGAAGCCACATCTTCAAATCTTCAGATTCTCTCTGCTATAAATGCCTCAGACTACACATGAAGTCAAAGGTCTACAAGGTTCATATGTTGGATAATCCCAAAATCGAAACCTTATTAGATCACTTTAATCGGGCTCGACCGAATTCGATAGCCTATAATTTAACACACAATTATTTATACATACAAGCCCATCTTTAATTAAAAATCCTTACATCATATTCCTTTCAACTTAAACATCTCGTAATACATATGAAGTCAAAGATCTACAAACTTCAAATTCCCTTTGGGATAAATGCCTTGGAGTACATATGAACCCACAACTTTGAAACTTGAGATTTCCTCCATCATAAATATCTCGGAATACATATGAAACCAAGTCTACAGGCTTAGACTCCCTCCGACATAAATGCCTCGGAGTACATATGAAGTCGCAATCATCAATTATCAGATTTCCGTCACCATAAATATCTCGGAACACATAAAGCCAAAATCCTCGATTGTCAAACTTCCGAAGGCATAAAAACCTTGGAGACTGGAGTACATATGAAGCTGAAATATTCATATTCCCTCCAGCACAGATGTCTTGGAATCAATAGAAGCTGGTCTGCTATGCTTCAATCTTCACATAATATGATACATCTTAGAAAAAAGAAAAATTTTGCAATGTATAAAACTTTATATTTCAAAGGTTCCAGTATCAAAGGCAAAGAAATATAAAAATCCTCCAATTCGTACAAATACAAAACTTAGATTTGGAAGACTAATGTTACATAGAAAAATATTGTGGTCCATCTAATATCAAGGTTCTATAATGCGTAATGCACCACAATGAGTTTCGATTGAGCATCAAACATTACAAGAATATGCATGCCTATGCGAAGGTAATTATATGTTTTTTTTAAAATATTATTTTAAATATTCTAAACTAATAAATTTAAAAAATAATGTTTTCTTTAAACTTATACAAATTCTTCAAGTTTTCAAAAAAGAAAACAATATAGCTCAAAACTATAAATACTATGATTACTTGAATTGTATATATATTCTTCAAATTTTCAATAAAAACATATGCTCAAAATTTTAAATGCTACAACTACTTGGTAATCAATTCCTAAAATTAGGTTATACATGAACATCGACTTAAAAAAAATTAGAAATATTGTCTGACTCTTTATTGAATTTTAATTCAAACTCCTCTTCATCCAAGTCGTCTTCCGTATAATCCAGCGTAAAATGATCTTCATCGGCTCCCTTATTTTAATATCTCTTATAAATGGTAGGATATCATTACTAATCTCCTCAATATCATCAGAGTCACCAACAATCCAAGATTGTTTATTATTAGCATCATTTGCTTAGAAAATTATAGAAAGATTGAAGAAGTAAGCTTGGGCTCACCTTAGATGGCTACTAAAAATTTATTTTGATTTTAAATTTTTGTAAACGTCAAAATCCTACAATAATTCATGGATTTGGGTGATTTGTGTTAACTTGATATTTGTCGGGCTCAATTTGCTTTTCTTAGTTATAAAAATGGGACTGGGCTTTATTAGGCTATTTTGACACAATTTTTAACACAAATGTGCTCACATTTTTACATTTAAGTGTGCATATACGGTTGGCAAAGTGGATTGACCGCATTATTACGTGCATACCTCATATACGAGACGTTTTGTAAATGCATCAAGAATATGCGGATGTATGCGAAGCATTTGCACGCAATTTAGATCATTGCCTAATATCATGTCAACCATGAAAAGGATCCCACCGCATGATCATGTATCATAGAGTGAATATTTATGCCTTGATTTTCAAGGCTAGTTAAACCAAAAGAATGCCTCGATCTTTGAGGCTTCGCTAAGCAAAGATATATGCAACACTCTAAAACATGACAAGGAACTTGATTGGAGGTCTCAGACAACCTCGGATGTAACGAGATATCGTACAAATTTTGAATCAACTTTGATATATGTGCACTATACCTTTGCAAGCAAACAGATTGATATTGGACATAAAAAGACTAAAATACCCTTACAAACTCCTAAAAATAGGTAATTGCACAACTAAAATGGACTTTTGAAAAAACAATTGATCTTTAAATGAAAAATCTTCCTCTCCCTATCCCTCTCGAATATTAAAAAAAATTAGATTCGACCAAAAAAAAAAATCCCGGTAGGAAAAATCACTTGAGAAATTGAGAGAAAAATTTTACCTTTGACTTTAAAATATAAAAATATTTTTTGAAATCTACAGTAGTCACTTCAAAGATTTGTTGCTTGCTGCAAAAAGGCAAATAAACATATTAAAATACAACGTTCCAAATCCATGATGATGGAATTTTATCCACAAATAAAGTTAGAAAAATCACATTTGTTACAAATCGAAAGACGTCGTCCCACAAAAAAAAAAAACAAAACAAAAAAAACCCACATGTATAAATTTCAATTTAGATAATTGGCACAAAACGTCCCTACCTTTCAATTTTTATGTAGAAAAACGTTCATACTTTTCATTTTATGGCATTTTCACCTCTACATTTCCACCTTTCATTGTGCAAAATGTCCTTTTTATCCTTTTGACTATTTTACCTTCCTATTCAAATAAAAAAAAAACCTAATTGAAAATATAGTCAAAACATAACAAATCAGTCAAAAATCAATTGCATCCTTTCATATTGACTACAAACAGGAATTTTCTAACCATATTCTATTTTAAATAATCAACAAAATATATTTGCTCCAATCCATTAAAAGCGCAAAATTACCCATCTCACATCCCAAATCATACAACATTGAAATTTTCCTGCAAGCCTTGCATTCATTGAACAGCCCGTACATCTCACTTTATGAAACCTGAGAAAATTGCAGTTTGCTCAGTGCAAGTGAACGCACGAGTTCATTCTGTAATCCAGTTAATTTTATGACGGAGGCCAATGTGCTCAGTGCAAGTGAACGCACGAGTTCATTCTGTAATCCAGTTAATTTTATGACGGAGGCCAATGGTGCCTAGCGTGCATTCCTACCTTCGTGAGGGGAGCAATTAGTAATTTTTGACTAATTTGTAATTTTATTTGAAAATTAGGACGATGGTTGCAATTAACTCTTCATTTTTTTTTCTTTTCTTTTTGTTTTATTTGAATAGAAGGGTAAAATCGTCAAAACAGATGAAAAATGATCTTTTGCACAATGAAAAGTGGAAGGTAAGGGTAAAAATGTCAAAAAATAAAAGGTATAGACGTTTTTTTACAAAAATCTTGAAAGATAAGGACGTTTTGTATCAATTACCTTTCAATTTTTTACTGCTTCCGACGATAAACACTATGTTCTAAGAAAATAATGTCGTGTAATAGTAAACCATTGTTACAATTTTGAGCGATCGTGTTATACTGTCCTTTTCAACGAAAGTGGATGACAAAGAAGACTATAGTTGAACGGGAGTGTTTATTTTCTAGAGCGTAGAGAATGAAATCATAAATATTCTATGCGGTTTACGGAACTTCTCATAAAAGTTAATTTACGCAGAGTCTTTAAAGGTTCGGGTTCAACCTTTTATTTACATAGAGTCTTTGAACTACGTGCACCTGCCAGTGCAATTTGCTCATGATTTGTCTCTCCTTGGGCCTCTGAAAACTAAGGAACTGCCGAACTGATGCCGCTTCAATCACATTGTCATTACCACCGAAGCCAGAACAAATTGCGGGTGGGGGTGTTCCTGCTGAAGGGTAATAAAGTGCTGCTGGGCCGCCGCCTCACCGCCGTTGACCGCAATACCTTCCCCCTTCCCGGCGGCCACCTTGAATTCGGTTAGCACATAAACGTCCTTTTACTTTTTCACACGTATCATTATTTTATACTGATTATTGCTACCATACTGTGTTGGGAGATTTTAAAATAATTGAATTACACCTTTTGTTATGGGTTATGAATTTCTATATAATGATGAATTTTATTTTAACGAGTAGCAGAGTTTTAGGTTAATGTAGAGATGTGTTTGATAATGTTAAAAGATAATTTCTTGATCAGATTCTTGAAAAGATTGAGACTGCCCATAGCAATGGGAAGCCAATAAATTAAGGACCATTTGCTCCCACTTACTCCCTCTGGCAAATAATTGAGAGGAATGACACTTCCCATGCTTTATTTCCTTTGTTGGAATTATAGGGCGGGGGGATCTGGCCTTGCATTTTAAATTCAAGATTAGAGTAAAAACTTGTGGGGAACATAGTATAGGGAAGACTCTTCTAAGATGGAGAACTATTGAATGTTCTTTGCTTGACATGAAATGGAGACAAATTTGATTCTCTTGGCAGTAAGATGGGTGGTGATGCAACAGAAAACTAACATGAATGAAATACGCATGAAATGCGTTGATTCTAGGAATTCCAGGGAATTTAGGAAATCAAGGTTAGTTGATTCGCAAGAAGAATATTGAATATTTGATATAGTTATGAGAAAACTCCCAATTCACAGTATTTTTATTCATAGACGATTTGAGTTAGGATGACGAATTATTCTAGCTTATATATAAGCAACCCATGGTGCACAATAAGATAAGAATAGCAATTAAAAGGAATTACAAAGCTGAAAAGGAAATAAATGACAGTTAAAGGAGATAATAGGCCATCAAGGGAAATGAATTGGAGGGATCCTTGTGCGTGCAATTATCTATGAGACTTGGAGACAATCTGTCAAGCATGTTTTCATATTTTTAGCCTTGGAATTGGTGGAAATAATTGAGAGAAATCAATCAGCGTATGTTCGACTCGTATGTTCGACCAATTAGACTAATGAAAATTGTCCTAAATGTCATTATTGCGTCAAGGCGTCTTACTGCAGAGAGAAGACAAAAAAAATTAGCTAATTTTAAAAGAAAAAAATAAAAAAAATAAATAAATAAATAAAAGAGCCAAACATGCTGTAAGGCTGCTTAAAGAAAGACCTTGTTAGAGCTTAGAAAATATGCACTTTTACTATTTAATGGACTTCAGCCTATTAGTACTAATCTCCATTTAGATGCGCCTCCTTCTGTTGGTGAATTTGGCCATGACTCCTCTTTTGAGATGGCTATGTGACATTAATACCTTATGTTGAGGGTTTTTATCAAACATCTGGTTTCAACAAATGATTCCATTAATTTGCTGAGAAGAGGATCATAAGAAACTCATATGTAATGAAGGAAGAAATTTGTTGAATAATTTAGTACTAAATATTTTATGAATTTCCTAATTTCCATTGGAATGACACCTCTATCATTCAAGTCATAATGATGGATGATCATACATGTATGTACAATTGATCATTCCTGCATCTCATGCAGACTGAACGGTTCCTAATTGGAAATAGAAAGTTTGAGTATTTTATGAATAACTAATGAAAATAAAAAATATACAATTAAAGCAATATAATGAATGGAGAACATATATTGTGTTCTTGGTGAAGTTTATATATAATTTTACTTCACAAATCAACATTTTCTTTTAAGTAACAAATAATTTTGTTTATCTCACTTCATAACTCCAATCTTCAAGACCACACCAGCTTTCTTGTTAAACCTCAAGCCTTGTTAAATGTAGCGGCTCGACCTTATGTAGCCTTCGTTTCCTCTCCTTATGTGGGCCCATATGATCTTGAGTGTTTAAGCTCATCTTCCCCTCACATAGACAGTTTGAATTTAATTGCTTCTATCACTACTGAAAAAGAAAGGAAGATTGTTGAGCAAGGTACCACTTGGAAGAAAATATGGGAAGTTCATCTTTTGAAGAAGTCATCTTTCTTGGTTGTGAAAATGAGCAAAAGTCAATCTTGAAGAATTGATGTACCACCCACAAGCGGAAACTCGTCATTGTTCATGGGAGAATACTACATCATTGACACTTAACTCTCTACAAGCTGAAAATGAAGATGATTTCAAGCTTGTTACTAAATGTAAAACCAAGCATCACCTGGTAACAAAAAGTAGATCTAGAGAGAGGTAGTCTTTTATTTGTTTTCTTTTCGATTAAGGGGCTCAAAGTCATTCCATTTTGTGTTGTGTCCACTCCTAATTAACCAAAATTAGTTTCCTTTGGAACTCTAATTGGATTTAATTAGGTAACGTTTGTTCCTGAACTGCTTTCTTTCCAGTGGAGGTTTAAAACTAGTCCCTCTCCTTTATTTGTATTTCTTGTTTCATTATTAATAAAAACTCCACCTTGGTGGTTTTACAATTAATAAATAAAGAAAGAATTATCTTCTACCGTTACTCGACATCGTATCTGCGAGATGAGTTAATGTTGATATCAAAGACTAAGTACAGCGGTCGTGGTGAGGATAGAGAGAGGGAAGCGAGCAGGAGGTACTGCATTTCACTCATTAGGGGAATTTCAGTCCAAATATCAATCTTGTAAAATGGGTATATATTTAACATAAGCTTGGAATTGTTAAGAGGGTTAGTTTGTCGCTTTTCTTCAAGTCCGCCAACCTACAGAACCAATAAGAGCAGGAAAATACTTGTTAAGTAAAATATCTTTATATCTACATGGTAACCACGATTGTTTTAGTTGACGTCAAACCGTAAACCTGGAGGCAAAATTCTCCCATTTCATTCACCAGAAACGCATACTTATTTATTCTCTTTACTTTACCAGTTTTGTATTTTATCATCTTACTTTCAGGAGAAAGCTTTGGGCAATCTGCAGCCAGAGAAGTTGAGGAAACTGGTTTGGACATCACAGAAATTGAGTTTCTCACTGTCACCAACAATGTCCTTTCAGATCCAAAGCCATTACAGTTTATTGTCTTCCTCCTGCCAGATCCTAATCAGATGCCCATCAATCTTGATCCTGAGAAATGTGATGGTTGGGATTGGTACGACTGGAACGATCTTCCGAAACCATTATTTGAACCGTTAGAAGCTATTGTGCTACGGGGTTTCAATCCTTTCCCGTCCCATTAGACGGTGATCAAGATTAGGTATCGTACAGTTGTCCAGCTTCCTATGCCTCTCTTTGCAATTAACTTCATCTAGGATAATATATTAATATATCACAGAGTCGAAAATGATGCTTGGGTAGCTAGACAGAATGGGATTGCAAAATTACAGGACAGGTTAGCTGATTGTTGCTGAATGTGATTTTCTTGATCAAGCATTTGAAAGGAGTGGCCTATTTGATCTGTTTATATGCATTGATTTTCAGTACTTGCATTACTTTGTTAGTAAACAACACATTTGAACGATACAGAGATCTCTAGCTTTCTCTTTCGTCCTTTTCCTTTTCCCCTCGCCAAGTATCAAATCCGTTCAGTGCAACACAGTCAAGTAGTTCTTATCGTGTTTTCTCAAGATGGTAGTTGTAGAATTATTGGAAAAATAGACGTGTATAAATTCAATTCAAATAACATATCTTTTATGTGCATAAAATCGGATAGAATCTTGACTTACCAAAATCGAATACAAAAAGTAGAAGTGAGAAATGCATGAATATGAATTTGGTCGGGGCAATAGTTCGACTCTTTCTCCTTAAGACGATAATGCCCCGTATGAGTGTTAATGGTTTTTTGGCATTCATCACTCAAGATACAACGATCACTTCTCACAATAAGAGCACTCTAAATTGAGTAGATCAATGAACCGACTTATGTTTTAAACCCTCTTTATATAAAATTTGGCTTCACATGAATGCAAAATTTTGAAGTGAATATGCATTAGTGTGATAATGCAATCATGAAGTTAATGAATAAATGAATACAAACATATGGGGTATATATATAGATGTTGAAAATATTTGTCTCAAAAGACAACTATTGGAATCTAAGTCTTATATGGCAGTTGCATTCTTAAATACCTCGACCAAAATCACATTTTGTCATAGTACGTAAACACGTTCCAATTGTGCAATGTTAATAACATGATAATATAATATTATCTTCACTTTGCACTAATTATCTCACTTAATTTCATCAAATTAATATAGGCTATCATCATTAGGCATGAATTATATCAACCAAAATTAGTGTAATATTCAACAAGATAAGAATAGATGTTACTGTTGGTAATTACAATGAAGAAGAAACGGGACAATTAGTATAGCCCCACAATATGTTCTTCATTTGCAAGAAAGAAAGTCCCTACCGTAAAACTCCATGATCAAAATATAGTTATATTACTACTGTTAAATTAAACAACAATTTCCGAAAATTGTAAGATAAAGTATCGACTCGCACGATGCACTTCCAAAACCAACTATATCC